TGAGTAGGACACTTGACTCTCAATCTGAAGATCGTGGGTTCGAATCCTCGTCCCACCAAACATACTAGCTTTTTAAGTTATGGGGGTGTTATAATGTGACGGTCAATCCCATTATTCATTGGTAAAAGAATAGACCAAGGGTTGGCGGTGGATGGTGATGGCTAGCTGTCTTCCCTCTAGTCTTACACTGCTAATGTAGGGACGGCTAGCGCAGATTGACCTCGTGTAGCTTTGCGCGAATTTCAAAACAAGTATGAAATATATAGTCAAAGAAAAAAAAAATATTTAGAAAATATTTGACACTGATGAAAATGGATGCTAGCGGTGAAGTTAAGTAATATGAGATGCTAGTTGAATTCATAGAGATTCTTTTATATCGGTTTAATTAAAATTATCAGTGACAACTTTAAGTTACTGCGTGAAAATGAATTTTGAAAAAAGCGAAAAGTCACAAGCGAGGTGTAATTTTTTATAGTTTACCCTCTTTAATAACACTAATAGTCGCGAGGGTTTCGTATCATATATTTTATTTAAATACCAATAAAATAATATTTTCTACGTCTTCCTAGAAATATTTTATGTTTAAGTCATTCATAACTAAAACCCGGTTCAGTCTTCCTCTTTACATTCAGACGCCTTGGCATGAAATGAGGATAGTTTATAAAAAGTACAGTAATTAAATACATTTTAAATAAGGTTATGTCGTGTAACTATTCTTTAGGTTGAGATACTTCGGTATCGTAGAAACAGTCTTCATAAATTACGTACGAATAACAAAAACAGGAACAATAAACATCCATAACACACATAACACTTACAGACACAAGTTTACGATAACAGATCAGTTCTAACAACAGGAACAATAAACATCCATAACACACATAACACTTACAGACACACGTTCATAATAACAGATCAGTTCTAACAACAGGAACAATAAACATCCATAACACACATAACACTTACAGACACAAGTTCACGATAACAGATCAGTTCTAACAACAGGAACAATAAACTCTGTAAGTGTTATGTGTGTTATGGATGTTTATTGTTCCTGTTGTTAGAACTGATCTGTTATCGTGAACTTGTGGTTGTCGGTGTTTTAGTGATAGATGACGAAATGTGTAGAACGTGTTAAGAAATTATTGGTATTTGACTATTGGTTGGCAGAATACTTCAAAATGTGTGGTACTTGTTTGTATATAACTAGTTATTCTGTTGTTATGAGTGAGTGTGTGTCTTTTATCGTTGTCTGAATACCTGTGTTATGGATAACTATTGTTTGTGTTATTATTGTTTCTCTGTTATTGTAAGCACATGCTTTTAAGTGTTGTGGGTGTTTATTTTTCGTGTTGTTAGAATTTATCTGTTATCGTAAACTTGTGTCTGTAAGTGTTTTGTGTGTTATGGATTAAAATCCTGTTTTCGTTACCACTAGCAACAGCATGTTGTTTTGATGGCTAAAAAGACTGATCAACCATAACACCAAGATCTTTTTCTTCCGTAACACTGTTAATGAAATTAAAAATCAAACACATAATTCAAATTGTGATATCCTACAGGCATTATTTTGCATTTATTATAATCAAAAACATCTGCCATTGATTTGCCCAACTTCCTAAATTATATTTTTGTAGACCAGCAGCATCCTCGTCACAGCTAGCAACATCCAAAACTTTAATATCATCACCAAATGTGAATAGTTTAGTGACCATTCCTTCATCTATGTCATTTATATAAATCAAAAAGAACAAAGGTCCTAAAACTGAGCCCTGAGGTACCTCACTAGTGACATTAATAGAGTTTGCCTGTACCCCATTTATAATACCCCCCCTGGATTTTTCCAGAGCTAAAAATAATTACGAATTAATGTATCTAATTTTACACAACATAACAACTAGGAGAATGTAATATTTAAAAACACACGAGAAAAACAAAGCTTATAGCGAATAAATCCATTGATTTATGTGTTGAGTTTTTATGTTGGAAACATCGTTGTCAGAAACCAGCGATTATGTGTTCTTTTACATGGATTTATTTCCATTTTTTGTTTCTCTCAAGAATCTCCGCTGAGATATCTGTTTTCGTCATGTTTTTTTTCATTTTTACATAATTATGAATTTCTCTTGTCTTAAATTAGAACTGAACGAATGTTGGTCTCATCGTATAAAGATCTGAGGTGATCCTGAATGTATCGTCTCCTTCCAACTTTTAAATCAAATTTGAAGCTGGTCTGTGTAAAACCAGTTCATTAGATTACACAGATCACAAACTGAAGATCTAAGTCTATAAATATTCGGATATTCTTTTGTCCGACACACGCTCCTTTTCTACATATGTGAAATATTGTGCTTTGGGTTAAAATAACATAATTTTGTGAAGCGTGCTTAATAAAACTATATTAAATTAACTATATCCACCATATCCGAAGACAACCCATGCCAAAGATCAACCACCCTATTAGAAAAATGAAACTGTCTTACCTGAAGATTTATGTACAAAAAAGATGATGCATCAACACTATCAATTCCCTGAAAAATCTTAAACACCTCGATTAAATCCCCTCTAACTCTTCTTCTTTTTCAATAGAAAACTATTTGAGAGACCTTAACTTATCCTCTCCATCCCAGCTTATCATCCTTGTAGCTCTCCTCTGAATCCTTTCCAACAATTCAATGTCCTTCTTAAGGCAAGGAGCCTAAAACTGAACATAGTACTCCGCACGTGACCTAACCAATGACATTATAACCTCTTCAGACTTGTATTCAGTATTTCTGTAGATACAACCAAGTTACTTCCATCCTTTTAATGGTAAAAAAAACCACCTCTTCATCAATTTTTATCTGGAAGGCACATCTTTCAAACCTTAGATACACGTTCAGCTTAAAGTGCATATAGAAGCTTGTGAAATATGCCATTGTCTTTGTAATTCTATAAAGTTTATTGGTAGATATGGTTATAAGCCTGCAAGACAATGATAAACAAAAAACACATGGTATACTGATCAGGTACTACAAAAACAAAGTTTAGACATTTTTGTTTTAAATTAACTAGATAATGATTACAAAATATTTTAACATTTACTGTACTATTTTCTGGCTCATAATTATTGAGATAGATGAGAATTATATAATTTTAATTATGATTAAGTCTGCACTGTTGAAATTCAAATTTATAAGATCACAGTGTTTGTTTGTTTTGAATTTTGCACAAAGCTACACGAGGGCTATCTGCACCAGCCGTCCCTAATTTAGCAGTGTAAGACTAGAGGGAAGGCAGCTAGTCATCACCACCCACCGCCAACTCTTGGGCTACTCTTTTACCAATGAATAGTGGGATTAACCGTCACATTATAACACTCCCACGGCTGAAAGGGCGAGCATGTTTGGTGTGACGGGGATTCGAACCCGCGGTAAACCCCTATGATAAGATAGCGAATGATTGAAGATAAGTGAAGCTCAAGATAATTGTAGAATAGATGATGCTTACCTTTTAGTTGTATTTGATACTTTACAAACACAATGTACATATAATTTAAGGACAACAAGAAATGTATTGGCTGTCCCATCCACTATAATAAACTCTAAAACAAAAATAAAGCCCTCATAGTCAGCCCTTATTATTCATATATTTATCAAGCCTTCTTCTGTTACGAGTTCTGAAGTTAAATGTTCCTAGAAGTGGTTTGCAAGTAATTAAATACCTAATTTTTTTAAGTTTTCTTGTTGCTGATCGTGGATTTATTTGTTTTTAAAAGTTTTAAAACTATTTCTTTATAATTAAGATACTTATGGTTGCCAAGTAGATTCTGCAGTTGGCAAACAAATGTACTCAAAGAAAATCATGAAGATAATTAATTAATGAATGTAAAACAAGTTAAAATTGATAGGACGTACGTATCGTTTTTGTTCAGTAATAAATTAAAATATCACAATTTCATATATATTGTGTAGGCCAGTGATTGTAATAAATTTTGTATGGTGTCAGTGAAAGAATAAACTTGTTTTATTAAAGAAACACTTCAGATGTCAGACTAATAATAAAAAAAGATAGAAATATAACACAAAAAAGAAGTAATGTTATTATTTTTGTACAAAAAGGTTTCAAAATGAACTTTTATAAAATTCAGAAGTTAAATGTCGTGCAAATAATATATGTATTTATAAAAACAAGCTACACATTGTTTAGAAAGTTACATTAATTTCCATACAATTTGGTTATATAGTTAGTGTCAACGTCTGATTCCTATATTACTGCTCCTCAGGAACTGGAACACGAGATCAACATGTCAGTTGTTAATTTTATACCTCAGAAAGTCCGATACAATTTGTTAGCATGCCAGCTACATCACTTATTAGTGGGATTTGATGTGTACCTTGAGACAGATCCAGATGCAACAGAAGGACCAAAAGAATTTTCTCAGGGCAAAATATTTCTTAGGATAGCAAGGTATCGAGGAAGTTTTTTATAAAACTATTTCTTACTTTGTAATATAACTTTTCAAACTATAGTTCTGATTGAAGATTATATCATCTATGGATTAAAAAAGATTATTCTTAAATTAAATGCAGTAGTTTCGTTATTTAAAGTGTATTTTTGAACAATTGTAAGATATCAGAGTCTCAAAGACTGGTTTCTCTGTGTTTTAGGGGTCGTGACCGTAGGAGACCTTACAAATACGTTGCCAAACTTGGACTATTTACACATCGTTAGAGAAGTTTCAAAAGAACTGGTTCTACTTCTTGTCAATTGTGATTGACTGAGATATCGGTTTTTGTTTGTTTTTTTCATTTAAAATAAACATGCATTTTATATATGTTTTTTGAGTGCACAGTCTCGTGGTTTTCTTTATATACCATTTAGTTATACTGTTCACAAAAATTATGTTACGGTATGAAATCCTGAAATTGTTCGACATTTTATTCTCCCTTTTTCTTCTACGTGTAGCTAGGTTTAATTGATTTTAACCTACTTGAAAATAAAGAAATGATGAAAATGGTTGTAAATTAAAGATATACAAGGTCAGTGTCGACAAAATAATTCTCTTTCCATTATTTTAATGGTGTAAGTGCATTTGTTTATCAAATTATTTGTGGTCAGTGAAGAATTATACTTGGTAAATATTCGTACTTTGATTAAAATACGATACGTCGATAATGATTTGAAAATTACTTTAAAATGTCCAGAGACTAATCTGTTGAAACAAAACCAAGTAATGCAGTTACGCTTGCTTCTTCGATTACCATGACAAAACTAAATAAAATATTTTACATTTATCTGACTTCAAAAGAGTTAGTCTACTGTACAGGTTCTTAAATATTTTTTTCTTTGTGTGGATTATTTTTTATAATTAGTTTTGACATAATTTTCTCAGATATCAGTTCTTTACCCTTTCGCCACGGGCGGGTCTAACCGAGCATGTCACGATCTTTTGGCGAGTTGTTTTCCAAACTTAATTAAACTGCTTTATGTTATACCAATTAGTATAGCATAAAATCTTAGCTAATAATCCATATCTTAATAGTATACAAGTTTGAAGTTCTTAATTTTATAAGGGAATATTTAAAAAATCCTGAATTTCCCCTAGCGTGTATTTTATTCACTACCTCTCTAAGAAGTTAGAAATTTAACATAAATTACTCACTATCAAATCATCATTGCTCAGACAAACTATATTAATTTTTTATAGTTTTGAATTTTGTTTGGTTACAGAGCCATCAAATAGGAAATCAAACCCCTCTTGCCACACCTACCTGTCACATCCTCTCTTTCAAGATATGTTAATAGTTTTCTCTTATCTATAACCAATAGAAAGTCAAGGTTTTTCATTTAGCAAATGATGTATTATTTTATGTTGTTTTCTAAACAGAGAATTGTCAATTTCTCTTTTAGTACAAGCTTCACGTTCCCCCAAGTGATTTACAACTAATAATGGCATGAATAGTAGTAGTTAGTGGTTCATAGAGCAATAAAACAATAAAATTCAAGGATAAATAGATGTATACTGTTACAAGTATAAAGCTACTTAGGATAAACGAATGTAGTTTCATGTTACAATTTGAAGTCATTCTTGAAAGAAAAACCCGGTAATTTAGATTTATTTATTTTTTGGTGGTTACGAGGTCGGTCAAATTGACCTATCTTGTATAGTTAGGGTAGAGAATATAAAGTTTTATATTACACAAATGATATACGAGATTTTTGGTTTTTTAATCATAACATGAAAATCACTTCATGCTTAGACTGGTAATGAAACAGACTCGATATACTCACAAACAAATCTTTAGTTTTTGTGCATAAAAGGCTTGTTTACTAAAAATCTACTGCATTAAAAGTTATAGTATAACTACTTAACTTGCAAATGTGTAAAAAGGTTTCTTAAAAGTGTGAAAATCTGAACTGCTGGCACTCATTAATTTATATCCATTAACTCTGTCACACTGGGCTCAGTTTGTCTTATTATTCAAACTTTTAATATGAATTACTGTAAACGTTTTGAAATGCTTTCTTTATTCTATGTAGCGATAGTGAAGAAGAAATTGAGCGACTACAGGCTGTAGCAGTAACTAGCAGTTGGGTGGCAAAACAAGGAAAAACCTTATGGAATACTAGTGGAGAAGAGAAGCATAGTAAAGAAGGGTTTGCTTCTAAAAGTTCCGTATTAAGTACAACAGAAAGAACTACTTCTAGCTGTAAAACAGAATTACAACCTCCTTCTTTTACAAAAAAGAAGAAACGGAAAAAGTCTTAAAAAGTTTGTAATATACGTTTCGCTGTCGTCTTGTTAGAAGTGTTTTGTTCCTTTTGAAAATACAAAATGTATTTTTTAAACAGAATAATAAATATGTATGTACTGTGCTTTAGGAAAAACTCTGTGGTAATCTTGAGGATATCATAATTACATCATCAAAATATAACCTAATATCCTGTTCATGATACAGCTGTGTATATACCCAAGTATTTTTGAATGTTTTCATCTTGTTCACAATAAAGGTCATGTTAAATATGTTATCTTATACTGTATATAAAACAACAAAAATATATTGTTCTAAATGATGCAATATTTCTGTGTCTTTGAAACACTCCTCTAATGACCAAGAACTTAGACTCTTAGTCTATCATACAATAAGCAATATCTCCATGAAATTTGTAATGTTTGTCTATAAAAAAGAAAGAGAAGTGATATGTAATACAAGATGTAAGATATTGCTCACTATGAATAAAATATGGGAATTGCTAAATACAAGTAACATTATGTTCTACTTCATCTACTGTACTGTTTATTTCCTGAGCATCTTTTCGTGTGAATTATATTATAATGTGGGTTTAGAAAGTGCAACATTGGTGTTACGGTCAATTATGTAATTTACTTACTTCGACGTATATCACGTAGCACAGACTTTACGAGCATCTGGGATAAATCTGGAAGTTTCTCGAACATTCATTGCTTTCGTAGCCTCTTGTACAAGTGAAAGCGTACTTGATTTTTTTCTCAAATAAATTTATCACAACTAAAAAGCAACATAAAACTGTGAATGTTGGAGAGGGCCTGGAATTGTTCCCACAACTTCTGATAAAGTACGTTGAAGGTGTACAGTACTCGCAGGATTGTTATGTGATCTACACACCAGGAAACTTGGGATACATTATATGCATAGCCAAGGCTAAATAGATCTTAGTGGAAATATGGTAAGAATATGTAATAGACTCAACATGTGTATAGAAACAGATATCATGCTGTGAGCACCATAAAAAAATATTGAGAATCTATTATACTACTTTTCAAAAATCTTCACAGGAACCACAGAAATGTTTGTTCTTCTTAAACATCCAATTACATTGTGATTTAACTGCTGGAATATTTGAGATAAAATACTATAGGGAAGGGATAGAAATAATTAAATAAAATTACATTCACTCGAGGGAAGGCTATCTGGAAGATTACATTCCCTCATGAATTGTTTTTTTTTTTACTTAATCCACTTTCATTTGTCGTAACTAAAGGAATATGGATGGACCATGCATTCCCGATCAGGAAGCCCAACTAAGAAGACGAGAGTTAAATTCCTCTGGAATGCGGGAATGTAATATTTCAATCCCTGTAGTACGTATGAATCATAAGCTTTCACAAGCTCAGCAAAAGTAAAAATTTTACTCAAGTGATATTGTGATAATCAGAATTTTGAAACTCAAAATTTCCTGATTCTATTCATCATAAAGTCTGATAAACATTACACTTAAAAGCTAAAATACAGAGCTAACTTTTGAAGTTTGCCCCCAAAAGCAGCATTTCAGTGAACTGAAAGCAACTAGACCTTAACACCACATAAACTGAAGTTGTGTACTCCCATATTTGGAAAAATAAAACAACTTATCTTTAAAACATAATCACACACATGCATTTGCTTATGTTGAACATAGATTTGTGCGTTACAAAGATGAGAAATTATGCTTCCCGTTGCAGAGCATATTGGTTTGCTCCTCTCTATTTTTCCCAGTTTTGTGGACAAGGTATTTACAGGTTGGAGTTTTATGAAACAAGCACTACATACAAAATTGTAGACCTGATTAACTTTTGAATATCTTGGGTCAAAGGGTCACTGGTACTTTAAAAAAAAAACTTTCCCAACCCGAGGCACGTGTTTCAATACGGAACAAAAGGATATTAACCAAACTTATGCAACAGGTACGATATCCACCAAAATCTTGTGAACAGATGCTACATCATCAAATGGGGGGGGGGAGAGACTTAAACATTAGTGAGGGTGTAGGTGTTTCATAAGATGCTAGTTTAATCATTTTAATGCAGAAGGCTATCAATAATACCACTGTAAAGCTCGTTAAATATTTTAAAATGACTTTGTATTTAATACTCTTAAAAGAAAATCTAGTGATGAAGTCAAGGCTTCTGAAAAAAAGAAAAACCAATAAAAAATTATCTTTCCGAGTTGTGTAATTCTCACTTAAAAATGGCCAGGACAAAGCTAAAGTTTTCCTAATTTCAAAGAAAACTCAATTTTTTTTTCTAATGGGATATTACACTACCAATTCTTCTCTAGCTTTAACACAGTTTCTTCAAGATATCAGGGTAACTGTTGTAGATTAAGAGATATGGCTTTTCACTTAACATAAAACAATGCTTAAGAGGTCTATATTGGAGGAAACAATTATTTTGGAATATTATACAACAAAGACTGTTCCTTTGATACAATAAAAAAAACTTAAATTTATCCTCGAAAAAAAAAAGATAATTCGTAGAAAATAAAGTTATATCTACTGGCTATAATACCTGCTTGCCAAACGTCTCTTTAATGCTTGAGGAATACTTAAGTTATTTGTTGTTTCTTCCACATCACACAAGGCCGTGTTTGAATCGGCAAATAAATAAATTCCTGAGCAAAGAAAACATACAAAAGAACTCGGTCGTAAATTCTGTATTTTGATGTCAATTCATGAGCAGTTAAAAACATATCCACAAGCCTTCAAATACACTTATATTATATGCTTTAATGCTTGAGGAATACTTAAGTTATTTGTTGTTTCTTCCACATCACACAAGGCCGTGTTTGAATCGGCAAATAAATAAATTCCTGAGCAAAGAAAACATACAAAAGAACTCGGTCGTAAATTCTGTATTTTGATGTCAATTCATGAGCAGTTAAAAACGTATCCACAAGCCTTCAAATACACTTATCTTATAATTTACAAGTCACATACAAAAAATAACTGTTTTAAGCAACACCAGTGGGGTGTGTGTATCTATTGTATGCTGAGGGTGTTAAAATAGAACACAACTTATATGATTTTAGATTTTTTTCAAGAGTATCTTGCCAAGTCTGTACGAAGTAAGTGAAACGTTGATCACAAGAGCTGGGTAAAATGTTAATAGTAACTAAAAATATGGCAGTTGGACAGTCACATGATTGCTTACCTTGATTTGTTAAGTCATTTTCTTCTTTCCAGTTTAATTTTCTAGGTTTTTCCTTCAGTGTACTGTAGCAAAAATGTTAATGTTTATAAAATTAATGCTACTTCAGAAGTACGTTTTTTTCTATCAATTAAAGCATCAGAACAATGCTTGAAAGGTCTAATGTAGAAAAAAAAAAATCTTGGAATATTACACAACAAAATATAAAATTTTATTTTGTAAAAGAGCTTGTTCACTTAACTCCTTAAGAAATTCAATTTATTATCGAAAAATAAATAATTCTTAAAAACTAATATTAATTAGTACTAGAGCTAATATCGGTTGGTTGATTTTTTGACGTTCATCATGTTAACTGCTCAGATCTAAGTAGTAATAACTACTGCAGCCCAACCGAACAAAAATAACAAGGCACACTGGATCCATTTTCTTCTGTAACTTTTAAGTAATCTTGTTAAATCTTACTAATTTTAGTTTATTTCCAATAAATAGACCTCAAGAAGAAAGGAGTTTGTTTAAAAATAATCACAACTTTGTTTATTTTCTATCAATTAACAAACGTTAATTCTCATCATCTATCCGACCGTGTTCTTATAATACATGGATGTAAATCGGTGAATTAGGCAGCATTACAGGTAACTTAAGTTGTAAAACTGTCGACTCACCTGTCAATCAAAGAAGCTAACTGCTTTGCCATGTACGATCGACAGCCATCACTTATGTCGAAACCGTTTTCTTCGTTATCTCTACAAAAGTAGAAAAATTTAATTCTCAAGTAACAGAATAAAACTCAAGAAAATTCTAATTTTTCTCCACGAAACGAATACATGGATCTAAACTTCAGTTTCATAGATTTTATTTCTTGAAAGTTACAGCAATGGAGTCAATAGTTTGAAATAGTTAACGATCCATTTAGTGTTTTCATGGAGAAAAGTCCAACAATTCTTTTAATATTAAAGTAATCCTATGTCATAAGTCTCAAACTGTATTTAACACACAGCTTAAGAAGATTAGCAAACAAAATATATAAACAACCTTGCTGGGAAGCTGAACAAACTAAATATATAAGCAACCTTGCTAGGAAGCTGAACAAACTAAATATATAAG